AAATGGGGGCTGTCACATCCTTCAAAATGGGGGCTGTCACATCCTTCAAAATAGGGGCTGTCACACACGTGCTTCAAAATGGGGCCATCCTCTCCCTGCAGCAGATCGCTTCTTCTGTTCCCAGGCAAACTCTGTTTTCCTGTGGTCAAAGGTTGCATAACCACTAACTTTCCACTCTCTACTACTAAGCTAATTATGACTTTATTTCAAGTTTTGCAAGAACACTCTGTTTTTCCTTATAATAAGGACTGGGAGAGATCCCTCATCGATTGCTATCATGGGAGGTAGCACAGAGCAGTCTGCCCCTATCACAGAGCAGTCTGCCCCTATCACAGAGCAGTCTGCCCCTCTGGGCAGTGCTAGTGGAATCAGGGTTTGCAATACACAGCACAGCCCCCCATCCAGAGCAGACCTTAGGGCAGGGATTGTCCCTCTGTGCTGGGCCCTGCTGGGGCCCCTCCAGTGCTGGGCCCAGTTCTGGGCCCCTCAGTGCAGGAGAGACATTGAGGGACTGGAGCGTGTCCAGAGAAGGGAACGGAACTGGGGAAGGGTCTGGAGTGCAAGTCCTATGAAGGGCTGAGGGAGCTGGGGGCACTCAGCCTGGAGAAGAGGAGGCTCAGAGGGGACCCTGTTGCTCTCTGGTCCAGCTGCATCACCCATTGTTCGGGTCTGAGTAGCTGCAGTGCCTGTCACTGGGCTCTGAGTAGCCTCAGTGCCTCTCCAGGAGTTCGAGTACCTGCAAGTAGTTGCTTAAACCTAACCAAGATCTGAAAACATCCAGCAATGTCCTGGCTCCTGGGAACAGGCCACCCTGGTTCCTGGGAACAGGGCCACCCTGGTTTCAACATGCCAAGGATATTCCGAAGGATTTTCAAAATTCCCAAGTGCTGTGGTACTTAGACTGCAAAAGAAGGGGAATATGTGGGAAGGTGTCTCCCCATAGGTTGTGTCTCCGAGCAGAACAGGTAAAAGGTGTGACCATTGATTGTTCCCAGTCGATGGCTCTGGCAGTGCAGGGGGGATGAGATGCTGAGTCAACAGAGCAGCCTCTGGTCTCCTGACCAGCCATTCCATCCCATCACAAGCCAGGATCAAAGGTACAACAAAGTGACCAAGTGAGGTTTTACAGAACACAACTCTGAGAACAAATGCAGCAGCACTGAGTAATGAAATCGCCCTGGTGCCAGTGAGTATCAAACTGATAAAATGAATGGTTAGAGCAGCTTTGTTTTAACTCACCCTGGTCAGGTCTTTCGTTATCTCAACCCTTCGAGGCCCACATTGGGCACCAAAAAGAACTGCTGTGGTTTAACTCCATCCAACAACTAAGGAGCACACAGCTGCTCCCTCCCATCATCCCCACCCCTGTGATAGGAGAGGAGAATCAGAAGGAGTAAAACTGGTGGGTTGAGATAAGAACAGTTTAATAATTGAAATAAAGTAAAATATAATAACAGTAATAATAACAATAGTAATAGCAATAACGGGAATGAAAAAGAAAAGTACTGAGAGGGATAAATGCCATGAAAAACCAGTGATGCACAAGGGAACTGCTCAGCACCCACTGACCGATGCCCAGCCCATCCCCGGGAGGCACCTCCCAGTCAACTCCCCCAGTTCATGTACTGGGCATGACGTTCTGGGCTCTGGAATATCCCTCTGGCCCGTTCAGGTCACCCGTCCTGGCCGTGCTCCCTCCTGGTTTCTTGTGCAGCTCCTCCCGGGCAGATCATGGGCAACTGAAAGGTCCTTGACTTGGGGTGAGCACGACTGAGGCACAGCCGAGACTCGGCTGGGTCATCAATGTTATTCTCCTCCTAAATTCACACCAGGCAGGCTCGTCCCTGGCTCTCACAAAGCCCAGCAAAGGCCCTGGGGTGGATCATAGGGGAGCAGCAGGGCTCAGCCCTTGTTCCAGCAAACCCCAGGGAAGGCAAAGGCTTGGCAGTTCACAGCCTCCTGTCTCTCTTGGCTGCCCCCCCAGATCTTCTCAACTGCCTTCTCTTCTCTAGTCCTGTGCCCACCCCATAGATTTTGCTCCCCTTTTCCCTTGCATTGCAGAATGAACCCTGAGAAAAAGACCTGGGAGAGAAGAGGCATGGAATTCCTGGGAGGAGCTGGTAAGAGCTGTGTTTCTTCTGTTTTGACAGTAATAGAAGGGGAAATAAGTGATTTTAAAACCCCAAGTACATCAGAGGTTTGAGCAGTATAAGGGATATGTGTGTCCCCAAAAAGCTCCTTCATGCATTCTTGAAATCTGGAGGGAAAAGTCCTAGTGAAGTTTCCTTTTTTTCTTTTTCTTTCTGTTTGAACCAGTGGGCAGAAATGGAGAGCTGGTGGCAGTGTCCCCTAAGAGAAGTATTTGGGTTGATAAGTTGGTGTGCTGGATCCCATTCCTCTTGTCTGTGGTCATCTGAAAGTCTTTGAGAAGACAGGCCCAAATGAAAAGGCCAAGGGACAATGAAGGGCCCTGGGAGGTCCCTCTCCACTCGTGCAGTGTGGAGGAGGAGTGTCTCACACTTTGGGGTGTCTCTGTTCTGGTGGGACTGTGCTGAGGCACCTGTGTGGTGCCCGAATGCTGTGGCAGCCGAGGCAGGTTCTTGGCCAGGAGAGCCTGAGTGGCCTCGAAGGTCAGAGCCCCCCCAGCGCTGCTGTCGGGCTCTGGTGCACAGGACCTTGTGGTTCCAGGGCCAGCTGGGTGGTGTGTTCTGCCCCAGAACCTGCTCAATGCATTCCAGGAGTTCCTCAGGGAAAGCTCCTTCTTAAATGTCCTCTTTTTGTTTTATTTTCATGTGTCCCTGATGTCCAGTTGCTACGGTTGCTGTAGAGCTGTTCATAGGGGCCATAATAAAGATGTGGAGCCAAGCAGGTGAGTGAGCTGATCCCATTCCTGGTGCCTGTGCTCATCCCTGGAAATCTCTGGGATGTGAGGTGTTATCCCTGAGAGAAGCAAAGCCAGTCGAGGTCTCTCCCTCAAGAATGTTACCTGCAGAACCCCTTCAGTGCACAGCAGGAGGCCTTTGGGGTGGGGTGACTTTGGTCAGAGGGACGTCCCTCTTTGACCTCATGTCCTGCTCTAGCAGAGGGTATCCCTCACAATTGGTAAGGATTGTAAGACATAACACAGCACTTCTGGGATTTCCTCTCCTTCCCTTCACCACTAAAGGAGGAATCTCCTCCAGGCCCAAAAGGGAGAAGCCTTTGCGTGCAGGTGAGGGCCAGGACTTGCCCACACTACCTGGAAACTAAACCCTGCCGAACAAAGAGAAGAGACAAAGGCCTGTTGTGCATGAGGGCCCAGCACAGTGAGGTCAAATAGTCCCATCTGTCCATAAATTCCCACTTCCAAGGGCCTCCAGAAGTGCTCTGCTGTATTTCCCACCCACGGGCAGGTGTCCAGGCCCCCAGGGTGCAGAGCTGCCCTGGCAGTGGCTTTGCCCAGCACAGCCTGGGCTCTGCTGGCTCCCATCCTGCCCAGGTTCTAAGGCAGCTGTTTGTCTATCCCTGCTCTTTGCAGCTGGCATGGGGGCAGGGCAATGTTCTTCCCTCAAGGAACACCTGGAAATCAGCAGGGCCTGGGCTCTCCCCCGGGGCCAGGCCCTTGGGGAGTGAGGGGGCAGGGGGCTTCCTGTCAGTGCTCCTCCCCAGCAGCACAGGAGCTCCAAGCCCATGGTTCTGAGGGCTCACAGTGGTGCTGAGACTCCTTTCCACAGACAAAAACTGGAACAGAAAAGTCTCCATGTCCCAGATTGGTGGTCTCCCCTTCAAGGGAGCAGTGTCAGTCTCCCACGGACACCTGTCTTTTTTCACAGAAAAGACAGAGAAGGGAAATACCTCAAAGGCTCAGGGATGCGGGACGGAGGAGACCCTTCAGCAGCTCTGCAAAGAAATGAAAGCTATGCGTGAAGATCTCCAAAAGGGCAGGAGTCCACTAAGTGTGATATTCTGCTGTTTAGAGCAGACCTGAACAAGGAACAAGGTGAGCAGGGCCATTCCCAAGCACTTCCATCTCTCTGAACACCAAAGCTGCTCTACAGGCAAACCGCTCTGAGAGCTCGTCCTGCACAGCTCCTCAAAGGGGATGGAGAAGGACGGCCCTGACATGGGGAGAGGCCCAGAGAAGCTGCCTTCATTCCTAGGAATCACCACCACAATCCATCCCGTGACTAAAGGCCACTTGTCTGGGCCTCTGCACACGGGGAAGAAACAGCTTTTGTGATCTGTGACACTGAAACAGCTCCATGCTGAAGTGTTCCCTGCAGGGGGTCAAGGCCCCTCTTCTCTCCCTTGTCTTTGAGGGCAGTGAGGACAGCTCTGACCCGATGGGTGCTAAAGGTGTCCACTCCCAGTCCTCCCACGCACTCACCTTCCTCATGACAGAGGGTTGTCTCCCATGGCCCACGGATGCTGTCTGCAGACGTGGAGGGGGATGATCCCTACCCCCCATCCTGCCCCCCAGGCCTTTGCCAAGGCCTCAGGAAGGCTCACAGGGCCTGGGCTCTTTCCCCAGCCCTGCTGCACTCAACCCATCCAAGCAATTCAAGGAACCTGGTCAGGAAGAAGGGCAGGCACCAGTCCAGGCTCAGGGCTGACCCTCTGGCAAGTAGCTGTGCAGAGAAGGCCCTGGGGGTTCTGGTGGACAGAGAGTTGGCCAAGGGTCAGCAATGGCCAAGAAGGCCCAAGGCTGCCTGGGCTGCCTTCGGAAGAGCTTTGCCAGCAGGCCAAGGGAGGAGCAGCCCTGGTGAGGCCCATCTGGAGTGCTGTGTCCAGTGCTGGGTTCCTCAGTACAAGGGAAACATGGAGCTCCTGCAGCGGGTCCAGCTGAGGCTGCAGAGATGATCAGGGGCTGGAGAGGCTGAGGGAGCTGGGCCTGTTTAGTCTGGAGAAGAGAAGTCTGAGAGGGGATGTCATCAGTGGACACAAGTGTTTGAAGGGTCAGGAGGATGGAGCCAGGCTCTTCTGGGTGGTGCTGAGTGACAGGATGGGAGGCAATGGGCAGAAAGGGAAACAAAGCAATTTCCACCTGAACACGAGGAAGAACTTCATTACTGTGAGGGTGACTCAGCACTGGGACCAGTTCCTAGAGAGATTGTGGAGATATCCTTGGAGTTATTCAAAATCCCTGGAGGAGGTTCTGGCCATCCAGCTCCAGGTGTCCCATCTGGGTTGGACCAGATGGTCTCTGGAGGTCCCTTGCAACCTCTCCTTGTCTGTGTTTCTGTGATTCTGTACAGGGCACGAGACATCTGAAAACACAAGTTTCAGAACCTACAAAGTCAGATGTAGCTGGATCTCTACCCAGTTCCTGTGTGTGTTTAATTTTCACTTCCTCTTGGCTCTTTAATCTTTTGCAGGTGTGCTGATAGAAAGTGCATCAGAAGACGAGGGCACTGATGTAGATGCATAGACAACTCCTGAGCTGGTGAAGCATTGATCAACAAAATTAGTCTGGCTCTCATTACATTTCTCTTGAGCTTGGCCCCCCACCCCCTGCACTCCCTGGGCGTGCTGTGTTGGGAAGTGCTCGTGCTGCCAGAAGACTGAGACAATTTTTAGGGCTTTTCTCCCTCCTGTGAGCTGGTTCCTCCTGTGCCAGGGCAGATCCATCCACTGCCCAGTTTCAAACAAGTGAAAGCAACAGCAGCCAAAGTGCAACCCAGAACAGAGCTGAATTACCCAGCGAGCTCTACACAAAGTCTCAGGGTAGAGTCCTGGGAATCCTGGATTTTAAGTTTTAACATTTTGTGTGTGTGAGGAATCTGGGATGTACAGCAGTGGGGAACCATTTCACCTGGAGAATGAAGTGTTCAGTTGCAATCCTGATTTTTCTGTGACATGTTTACTACACTCGCATTACCTGTCTTCTTTCCTGCTTCTGTTTTTAGTTAATGTGCACAGCACAAGTGTAGAATTAGCACGTTCCTCCTGAGGCCGGGGCAACACCTGTCTTCCAAGGGTGCCTGTGCCCTGCGCAGGCAGAGGAGTTCCCTTAGAGTAAGAGAACCACCACTCTGCCCCGCTAGTTGGGCACCATCTGTCACAGTCGCGGGGGAAAGAAGACGCGACAGCCGGGGGTTCGTGCAGAGTGGTAGCTCGAAGCTATTGCAACTTTATTAGGGTGTGCCACCCCTATTTATAGGGTGGCAGGGGAAGGTTCCAGAAACCAGGGAGGAGCATAGGACAGGCAGGAACATAGACCAATGAGAAGGGAAAGGAGGGAATAAGGGAGAAATAGGAGCTGTGCTGGTTTAAAGGTAAACCAGCAGGGGAAATGACCTCAACTCAAAAGAGAGATTATAAGTCAGAATAACAATTTAATAAAATAATACAGTAAGTACAATTATACAGACAAACAAGTGGTTTTAACCCACAAAACCCAAATGTATAACCCAGCACCCTGGGGCATGAACAGAGTGGTGTTCTTTGGGCCCCCTGAGTCCAAAGTAAAAGAAGAGGGGAAAACCTGTTGGTGAGAGTGCTGGTGCAGTCTGGTCAAGAGTGGTGATTGCAGTCTGGTCGAGAGTGATGGTTGCAGTCTGGTTGAAAAGTGGTGGTTGCAGTCCAGTCGAGAGTGGTGGTTGCAGTCCAGTCAGGAGTGGTGGTTGCAGTCCAGTCGAGAGTGGTGATCTGCAGTCTTCCTCTGGATCCCACAAGTGGTTAAAAGTTCCAAGACTCCAAGATTATATATTCTCCAGTTTGCCCAGTACTTTCCTCAGGGCAGGGAGTTCCAACAAAAGGTGTGAGGACAAGAGCATCCTCCTATCTCACAGGCCTCTTAACACCCAGTTTATAGCCTGAGGAGTCAGGCTCTATGGGCAGATGGTGTAAATGGTTCATTGATAACAATTTCTGGGAAATGGCATAGAAGGCTATAGAATACACAGTTTTGGGTTACACCCAATACAATGATGGACTGGTCTCAGATGTTCTAACTAGGACAAGACTCTTTTCAGTACCAACCGTGTAGTTCAAGACTCAGCAATTCAGTCCATCACACAACAACCGGTAAAGTATGAACTGGACACTGCTGCCACTTTAGAAGAAACCCTCAAGGCCACACAGCAGGTGAAAACTGGCAAGGCAGCTGGGGTTGATGGAATTCCACCCGAAGTCTGGAAACATGGGGGCCTTGCACTCCATACTAAATTTCACGAGTTTGTGGTGTGCTGTTGGGAACTAGGCCAACTACCATCAGACCTTCGTGATGCAGACATTGTCTCCTTGTATAAGAAGAAAGGAATTAAATCAGATTGCTCAAATTACCGGGGGATTACTCTGCTCTCCATTGCTGGCAAAATCCTGGCAAGAATACTTTTGAACAGACTAATACCCACTAGAGCAGAAGAACTTCTTCCTGAAAGCCAGTGTGGTTTCAGAGCCAACAGGAGTACCACAGACATGGGGTTTGTTCTCAGACAACTGCAAGAGAAGTGCAGGGAACAGAACAAAGGTCTCTCTGGAACCTTTGTCGACCTCACCAAGGCTTTTGATACTGTGAGCAGAAAAGGTCTGTGGCAGATTTTGGAACGTTTAGGTTGTCCCCCCAAGTTCCTTAAAATGATCATCTCTCTCCATGAGGATCAGCACGGCCAAGTCAGATATGGCAACACACTTTCTGAGCCCTTTTTAATTAAGAATGGTGTGAAACAAGGCTGCATTCTCCCTCCTACCCTTTTCACAATCTTTTTTAGCAGGATGCTCCAAAGAGCCACGGCAGAGCTCGATGATCAGGATGGTATGTACATCCCATATCGTACCCATGGAAGCCTTTTCAACCTAAGGCGACTGAAGGCCCACACCAAGACCTTAAACCATCTTGTCCGGGAGCTGCTTTACGCTGACGACGCCGCCCTCGTGGCTCACACAGTGGCAGCTCTGCAGCGTTTAACATCCTGCTGCGCTGAGGCTGCTGAGCTCTTTGGGCTGGAAGTCATCCTGAAGAAGACTGAAGTTTTCTATCAGCCTGCACTGCAGGAAGTCCCCCATCACCCCCACATCACCATTGGCCAATCAGAGCTCAAATCAGTCCAGCAGTTTAATTACCTGGGGGACCTCATCTCCTCGGACGGTGAGATTGACGGAGAGACAGACAACAGGTTAGCAAAGGCATCGAGAGCTTTTGGAAGGCTCCATCAAAGAGTTTGGCAAAATAAACACCTGAAGAAAAGCACCAAGATCAGTGTTTACAGAGCCATAGTGCTGTCTACCCTCTTCTATGGATCTGAATCATGGGTCATCCACCGCCACCACCTGCGTCTCCTCGAACGCTTCCATCAATGCTGTCTCCACACAATCCTAAACATCCCCTGGTCAGATGATGTGACCAATACGTCTGTTCTAGAACAAGTATTGAGGCCATGTTGCTGAGAACACAGCTGAGCTGGGCAGGGCACGTCTCCAGGATGAAGGACCAACCACCGCCTCCCGAAGGTCCTGCTTTATGGTGAACTTGCCACCGGCTGCTGCAAGAGAGGAGCCCCGAAGAGGAGATACAAGGACTGCCTGAAACAACATCTCAGCCTTGACCATATCGATCATCATAACTGGTCTACTCTGGCCTCCAATCAGGAGGTCTGGAGACACACCATCTATAACGCTGCTGCTTCCTTTGAGAACGCTCACAGGATCACTCTCAAGGAGAAAAGACAGCGCAGAAAGAATCGTGTCCTGCAGAATATACCACCTAAGGAGTCTTTCTGTTGTGCCTTTTGCAATCGGATATGTCTATCTCGTATTGGCCTCATTAGCCACCAGCGTGCCTGTAATAAAAGTGGATAGAGCCTTCCTAAATCTTCGTTCGCGAAGCCCAGCCATGAGGGGGTAGGAAGGGTTGCAGGGGCACCGTGGAGGCTCGAGGGGAGCGACGTGGGGGCATTTAGGGGTTGGGGGGGCATTTAGAGGTCCCGAGTGGGCCCTGGGGACACTTGGGGGGCACTGAGGTGACAATGGCGGAGCTCAAAGGGGCAGCGGGGCAGGA